TCAAGACTTTGACTATATTTTAAAGATCTGGGTGGTGAGGGGTTGTTTTTTTGCATAAAGTGCTTCCCCCCCACCCCCAATGCTCATAAAAGTTTTTTTTTTTGTTACACTTTCCTTGTCCAGAGTTTATTTAATTGCTGCAACCCACTGGAGAACCTTGTGAGAACCAGTCTAACTATTTCCCCATCCTTTCCTTTTCAAATAAAGCATCAGCCACACCCTTAGAGTGTACTTCAATGTTGCTTTAACCGTCCATTTGCAACATTCCGGTCGATTGATCCGTCTGTAAAAGTGTGGAGTTTGTAGGATTCTGTAAACATTTTCCTAATTGGAAAAAAAAAATGAGAGCAGGTGGGTAGAAGCCTGGCGTTTCCCTTCGTATTGACCCCCACTTGTATTTCGGCTCAATTTTTGACTGAATCTGTGTTTTTAGCAGCTCCAAGATAAGCACTAAAGCCCCCTCCCATTACACTGCACACTTCAAAAAATGCAACCAGGCAGGAAAACAACCAAAATCACCTGTGTTTGTGACAATTTTTATTCTGTCGTATCATTGTGTACCTTTAATAACTAAAGCACCTGGCTTTGGTAACAATCCCCTTCCTTGCCCCTAATTCCATTTAAAAAAAGAAAAAAATCCCTATATTTTTCATGCCAAATTAAACACCCCCATAGATTCCACATTATTGCTCTCGAGCTGCACTCTTGGATAATGGCAGATAATTACAGCCCATCCAAGCGCCTCCTTGCTGGGCCGCTTCCTCTCCCGCCGGGCTCTCCCGCTGGGAGGTTGTGGCGGCAGAGGCCTCCCCGCTTACTCTGAAGCGGAAGACTCCCCTGGTGATGCTGGGGCTCCCCCCCCCCACGCTGTTGACTTTACCCCAATGCCGGGTTTGTTGGGAAGGCCGGCTTCATTGCACCTCCTGACCCACTGACCGAGGGGAGGCTGTGGGGTGCAGCTGGAGAGCTAAGCATCCATTCTGGTCACCCCCTCACTTTTCATCTCGCTTAGTTGCCAAGTTGTGCCTGACTCTTCGAAAGTCCTATGGACCAGGGCAGGTCGTTCCTCCCCCCACTTCTATCCTCCTCTGGGAGTTTCCCCAAATGACCCTAACTAACCATCTCCTCCTCTGCCGCCCCCTCCTCCTTTGGCCTCCCCACTTTCCAGAGGTGGGCTTCTACTGGTTCGGACTGCTTCAGCTGAACTGGTAGTGGTTGGGAAGCCTGGGTCGCTAGAACCGGCAATGATCCAGGCCTGCCACGCCACAGAACCGGTTCTCCTACGGGGGCCACCATCTTGATTTTTGGTTCTGTGCATGCACAGAACGATTGTAATTGCAGAAATTAATTTTTTTTAACGTTTTTTGCACACCTGACTTGCAGTAATAGCAATAGCAATAGCAGTTAGACTTATATACCGCTTCATAGAGCTTTCAGCCCTCTCTAAGCGGTTTACAGAGTCAGCATATCGCCCCCACAGTCTGGGTCCCCATTTCACCCACCTCGGAAGGATGGAAGGCTGAGTCAACCCTGAGCCGGTGAGATTTGAACCGCCGAACTACAGAACTGCAGTCAGCTGAAGTAGCCTGCAGTGCTGCATTTAACCACTGCGCCACCTCGGCCGGGTAATGCCGGGAGCAACCCACCCCTACATCTTTTCCAACATTGGGGTCTAAGAGACGGCAAATCTGAAGTCGATTCCTTTGGCTCTTCTACCTAAGCTTAGAGTAGATGCTTTTGAGCATTTCTTCTGGTTGGGTGCACTATAGTTAGGTGGCTGTTTTGCTCATCCTCACAATGTATTTCAAGAAGTTAGCCTCATCTCTGTTGTAGTTGTAAAACCCGATTTGCTAATGATTGCTTGGATAAGATTCCCGAGTTCAGTCCTTCTGGAGTCCCCACCCAAAACATTCACCTCCAGCAGGTTTAATTGTGGTAGTGAGTATATTTTGTAAGCTACTTTGGGGGAGATTATGTGTTTATGGGGGACAGCCATTGGATCTTTGATAGTCGGTCATAAGTAGCTCTTGGGAAGTCTGTCATAACATTGAACAGTTGCTAAGCAACAGGTTGCAAATTAAGGACTACCTGTAAAACTGTATTCAGAAGGCGAAAGAGGGTTTATTATATATAAGAATACCGTACACCGTCTGAATTAACTGCAGCTGTGAAGCCTCATAAAACCTGGAGTCCAATTCATCACCAGCTGACCAAGGACACAGTTGTCTTCATTTTCTTAATATAGGAGAATTCATTTAGTTCTGCAGACAGGTTGATAATTAGAAACAACCCGGAGCATCAGATATTTCACTAATTATCTATAATGTTTGACCCCTTTAAACCTTTCGTGACAGAATGAAAAAATGCAGCTTAATTGGCTCCCCCCTCAGTGGATGTTTGTGAAACATATTGCAAAACTGGTGCCAGAAAGCAATTTGAAATCTCTCTGTTTATTTTCTCTTAGATATTTTTTCCCTCTCTCGCTCAGAGTTTTTCACTTTTCAAACTTCATGCCTTCCACATTCAGCTGGTGAAGCAACAGGAAAGTTTTTCTGGATGATGGTTTGCAAAATGAGTTATTTTTTAAGACAGGATTGTGGCTTCTTTTCATTCACGAAGTCCTTGATTCATTCCACAATTATTCTTGTTTGAATTCAACAATTTTTGGCCGGCCTGCTGCAGTATCCACCTGCAGCTCCAAGGCTGAATCTTGAATTCCTCAGTTCTTCAACAAAACGTTTATTACTCTTTGTCCTTAACAGAATACCAGAGTTGGAAGGGACCTTGGAGGTCTTCTAGTCTAACCCTCTGCTCAGTCAGGAGTCCCTATTCCATTCTAGACAAATGGCTGTTCAGTCTCTTCTTAAAAACCTCAAGGGATGAAGCACCCACAACCTCTGGTGGCAAGCTGTTCCACTGGTGAACTCTTCTCATTGTCAGGGAATTTATCCTTAGTTCTAGGTTGCTTCTCTCCTTGATTAGTTTCCAACTGTTGCCCCTTGACCTCCACTCCCAAAGTTACAACTTGTTGAAGGATACGTTTTGCATTCATGGGCCTGTTATCTCTCGTGTCCATCTATAAAGGATGAGGAGCAGTTGGCTGAGCCTGAATCTTTTTTAAAGTCTTTGTCTCCATGGAACATCTGACCCAGGTTTAACTGGGCTTCCTGAGAACTTTTCTATAAATAGTGGTGGATTTTTTTTTCTCCCACTTTTAACCCGTTTTTAAAAGTGGGAGAATCTGTTTTGATTCCTTGCTTTTCAATGACAATGCAGCTATTTTACATACGTATTCATCTTTGCAAACAATCACTCTTTTATGTATTTTTCTTTATCTTTTCTTTTCAATTCAGCATTCTAGAAATCGCCCCTTTTCACTTTTCCCAGAAGGATACATTCCTTTCACCTTGTTCCAAAACAATCCTTCTTGCTTCTGTTCATTTTCCAGTCGTTACGATGGAGAATTAACTTACAAACAGGATTCATACTTTTCTTCCTTCTACTGTCCCTTTTCCTTCTTTTCTTTTTCCTCATCCATTCTTCTTCTTCACTTTTGGTACAAACTCTTCCCATATTCAGAACCTCCAGCATCCTTCACGAATCCTCTCCAAACATCAAAAAGGGTCACATCTAACACGCTTCCAGATTCATTCCTTGCCCCAGTGTGCATATGATTATGCTCAAAGCATGTATTTGAAGCAAAACTAATGAGCTGTGAACAGAAACACACCAGTCATCGTGTCAATTCCTTCTTGGGTCTCCAAATGGTCCAATGGCTTTTTGTAGTCTCTCATTCTGAGCCCTTGTCTCCTGGCAGAATATTTCCCTCCTTGGGCTGCGTTCAATCTGGCAACACATCGTCCCAACACTTCCAATTATTTTATAACTTAAACTTACTTTAAAGGTTTTTTTTTTAAAAAAAAATCCTGCATCATTTCAGCCAACAAAATGTCCTTTGTTCTATTTTTACTTCTTTTCATGCCCACCGAGGTGGGAGGCCCTCAGTGACTTTGGCTCACCCCAAAGAGTTAAGCAGGTGTCCCCCTTGTAACAGACGGATGAAAGGGCTGTGGTGATGCCATACATGCGCTTTGTAATTTTGTGCTTGGGGATGGAGGGAAGAACAAGGGGGATTCACAGCAGAATTGATTTTCTGTGCAGGAAAATAGGAAGGCTTATTTGTAGGCCAGTCCAAGAGTTTTAGGAAGAAGGCTAGAAGGATTGAGTCTTAAAAAAACGCCTCTGTGATATATCAATTTCACGCTCATTTTCATTGTCTTTAAAAATCCATTCTTTGTAAAATGGCCCATACAATTTGGGTCAATGACATCCCAGCCATACTATGCATACTATTAAAATCAGTTTCCTCCCACTGAGATAAAATGACACTAAGAATTTTCTTTATCTATACTACCACACTAAAGAATGAAGAGAGCCTGTGATGCTGTATTTGTATTCATTGATGCTTTTTACCCAGTAACCTGGACCGCAACATCTGAACACCACTGGAAAGGTTAACCTCCGTTTACTTTTTAAAATAGGATTTGCACGGGAGTTTCAGTGTGTTATGCAGGAGGCACTCAGCTATTTAGATGCACTGATTTCATCCTACCCACCCCCAGCGTATTTTAATTAAATCCTCATCTGACCTCAATGCTTTTTCTCTTCTGTTTTATAAAATTTCCTGTTTTACAAAGAAACAAACAAACTCCCTACTCTTCCAAATGACACTGGGTTGGACAGTTGACCTTCTTGATGGAGAGGTTTAGCGGCATTTTATTCCTGTAACAAATTTTGCTCAATTTGATTTTGGCTCCAGCAACGCTCAAATATTAGATACTTGAATAAAGGCGAGGCCAAATGGCTCACGAGCGCATGTATTCCTCCCCCCACAAAGGTGCAGCCCTTCACCCAACTTCCAAGGCAGAATATGGCCACCCAATTATTAACTCAAAAAATTTACACACAAATACGTAAAAAAAAGTACATAAAGAAACATCTACTTTCCCCCCCAAAGCTGGAATCAAAACCAGTCTCTATTTTATTGAGTGCCACGCCAATTACATGGGTTTCCCACAAAATTTACTCCCAAGATGAAAGAGAACGCATGAGGAATAAGAAAAACCTGTCGTTTTTGGTATCAATCCAAACCTTCCTTCATGTAAGGAAAATGGCTAATTCATCATTTCACACTGACAAAAGGCATGGAGCAGAAGGACGCTGGGTGAGGCCAGGGCAACGCTTGGAGAATTGGCGTCAAGAAGACAATGCTTGTGCAAAAACAGCCCGAAAAAACCATCAAGCCAGGCTCTCCGTGGTCTGGCTTCTGAGGCTACAAACCAGCCTCCGTGAATCCAGGATTCTAACTTTGCCTGGCCTGTTTCATTTGTCTGCTTGAGAGGGACAACCCGCTGAAAATGAGGCGTCCTTTTGCAAAAACGTATCTGTCATTTAAGCAGCGAAAAGTTAAAAAGTTTTTTTTTTTAAAAAAAAAGGAGAACATTTTACAATTTTTTTGAAGCTGCCCATCTCTTTTGTGCGCATTATTTACACACGGACTTTGTCTTCATTTTATTTTAGTAAAAATATAAAACACAATTTCCGCCAATGCGCTACCGCCTCCTAACACACTGGGGAAAAGGCTGTTTTCCCACACCTTCTCAACAACGCTCCTTCCCTCCTTTTGCTGGTAGATTTAATCGGTCCAGATTTCATGTCAGAGAAACACCTGAAAAGCAGCAGAAGAGTCAAAACATGGTAAGGCGAGAGAGACGTGGAGAAGAGGGACAAAAAAATACCTTCCAAAGAAAACGGGTGTTGCCCGAAATTCTGCGCTGCCCCCCCCACTTGCCTCCTGGATACGAGAACATAGAACAATAGGGTTGGAAGGGACCTTGGAGGTCTTCTAGTCCAACCTTCTGCTCAATTGTATTCTCTGTTCCCATCTGTGTCGGCGTATCCTTTCAACAGACAGCGGTCCAACTGGTTGCCACCCATGTCCACCTTCTTTCTATGAAGCTAAGGTTACACTGGATTTATATACGAAGGCATCACTCTTCTTCCATTATACAAAGCCTTTCTCACCTGTCCATTCAAGCCAGGACGTTTGAGGGTGCAGCTGAGTGAAGCCAAAGTGTGTCTGGATAAGGATCCATGGATGGCTAGAAGAAATCTGACAGTCTGACAGCCACACATGTTTTTTAGTTTCCTTGGACTGAATAGTTCAATCACCCTGCGGGCCTTTTGTTCAACTTTGGGGAAGGAAGGAAACAGCCACTGGATCTCCTTCATCACGGAACTTTACAGAGCATTGTTTTATGTCAGTTCAGAACTGAGGAACATACAAATCCCAAAGGTTTCCCCCCATTAATGGCGTATTTGTCCAAAGGTCTCAAATACCTCAGCGATTATGTGCCATCAGGTCTCTTTGAGAAGCAACATTGCTGGAGAGAAGAGCATCACCACAACAACAAAAGTACGTTCCCCGGCACAACTGTCTCTTAAATAAGGCCTGGGAACTATGTGGATGAGGGCTGGTGATGCCTCCGGTTCCGTTTCTTCTTCATCTCTTGAACATGCTTCCACTTTGGGCCTCCTTTGTTACGCTGCCGTTTCTTTTCCCGGTGCCACATCTGCTCACAGTACTCGTCCAGGTTGAAGCTGGGGCTGCTAAGCAGCTGGAGATAATCTTTGTATCTCAGCCGGGACTCGGCTTGGAGATCTCGCGTCCGGCTTGGTTCTTCTTCCGCTCTGTGGCTGTTCTCCATCTGTCCATTCTCGATGACGTTCAAGTTCAACTTCACGATGGTGTGGACAAACGTGTGTTCCTGCGCCTTGCAGTAATACGTCCCAGCGTCCTTCTTCTGCAAGCTACGGATGAGCAGCCCATATTCTGTCTTGAAGGCTCTTTCGTCTGGTTTCAGCTGTTGGGCAGGAAAAGAAGAAACACTATCAATGTTTATTTTATATTTTATAGAAGAGCAGCATATCTTACATGAACATTGAACCCAGGAAAAAAAGGAAGAGGTTTTTCAACAAAATCTAACACAAGGCCTCTCTGTGAAGCTCCTTTCTACTCAGACTTAGTCCATATTATTTGGTAGCTTCCATGTGTTATTTGTGATTATTTCACAAACAAAGTTTGTGATTGTGATGATTCTGCAGCCCTCATCCGTCCAGTTTCAAGCTCAAGTAAGATAGATATAGCAATAGCAGTTAGACTTATATACCGCTTCATAGGGCTTTCAGCCCTCTCTAAGCGGTTTACAGAGTCAGCATAT